CCCCAGTATTTCAGCGGGAACAATGAACATTTTGAAGACGTTTCATTGTTCAAAGAACAAGACGTCATGGAACTTACGCCCACGACGCAACCCCCTTGTGACACCACAACTCAACTCCCTTTTGAATCAATCTCAAACATTCCTCATCTTGAGGATATCGACGTAGACCATGCACTGGATTATCCCAGTAACCCAGCTACAGTAAGGATAGACATTGTGTCTGAGGCCATGCAATCGGCGGTAGTTACGGCCGTGGCGAAGGATGCTAAAAACCTGGCTGAGACGCAACCAAGTCAAACTTCGAAGTATGAAGCAAAGTTACCGCCGACATCCATGCTTGCGGTGACCACGTCGGAAACAACCGAAATTTACGAAGGAGAAGTCTGGACACCTACTCAACCTCCTACCTCAATTTCAATGGAAGACAAAGGGGCATATGTCCATGAATTGCAGACTGCATCGTCAGTCATAACTTTCAGTGTCACAAAGCCAAAACCCAAGACCACGTCACGCACATTTTTAGACGAGCAACCGGAAATGCCAGTCGTGACCACGCCCAAACTTGTCACAAACTCTGACTCGGTTCATGATGTGAATTCTTCCGACTCGACGCCACCCAATATGGCGGAGCCCCGATGGAACGCAAGCTCCTCAGTTTTAACCGAGATCGTACCAGAACCAGAACCCGAATTCAAGTCCGAATTCACTACGCGGGTTGTGACAGTGTCAACTGAAACCATGTCTAAAACACACACTAAAGCCACAACACACAAAAGTTCCTTCGCTATAACTAAATTAGAGGCTTTAACTAAACCAGAGGCCAAGCCGGAGTTGACTTCGCCTGGTGTGACTTTGCCGAGCGTAAAAGAATCAGATGCAGCGCCGAAGCCAACAGCGAACGAAAAGACCTTCATTTTTGTGACTGAACTTGACGGGGAGTTCAAGCACAAACCAGAGCCAAAGCCCAAACCGGAATCGACACCATCGGTAGCGACGATGTCAAACACAGCTAAACCTGAGAAAGACCCAAAACCTGAACAGAACAAAAGTTCTTTGATTACTTCTGAACTGAAAGCAGAGATCGAGACAGCCTCCAAGCCAGCCTCCAAGTCAGAATTTACCTTATTGAGTTTGAATTCGTCAACTGTGACCACTTTAAGTATAACCAAGCCCCAAACAAACCAAAACTTCGAACTGAACTCTTCTAGTGCATTGATTATGAAAGTAGAAGAACCCAAACCTGACCCTAAGCTGGAAGTAGAAATGACCTCATCATCCATGACATTGTCGAGCATGGTAAAACCCGGTCTCAGTCGCAAATCAGAGTTGAATTTTGGTCCAACCTCCCATAATTTGACTAACTTAGAACATAAGTCTGATTTAGAATTGGAACCAGAACCCACACCCCAGACACTGTCTTTGAAGATTACTCCAACGCACACCCAATATCAAACAAATGAAGAAATTGCAGCCGGCCCAAGGAATGGAAAAAACACCCTAACGACAGAACGTCCACAAAGGGAACCATTTTCTCTGACACCTGAACCAGAACCAACATTCAAAACCCACAATCAACATGACCCAGGAACGATTAATGGACAGCCTTTGTCTCCAGCGACTACGACACGGAAATCGGCAATGGTTTCAGAAGTTACAACAGGGGGAAACAGTTCAATCAACTACCATGCTCGTCTGTTAGAGCAGGACCTGGAACCAACAGTAGATACAGGAACTAATCCTCCTCCATCGTTAACTCAGTCTACGCCAAGAGTTCAGGGTGATTTTCAGGCCACACATATTGCAGATATGGAGGGCGCGGACATCGGAAATCTTTATCCTGTCGTGTCTGGTACCCCAGCGGGAGCATTCTCAAGGCACACCACCATAGCCATGACTTCACCAGATGAGGTCACGCTGTATCAGTCCACGATGCGAAAGTTGGAATCCCAGTCTAGTGCGTCACCAGATCTCACAGTGAGTATACCTGAAAGCAATGCGCAGACTCAATCATATACGGTGAATCTTACAGATAGTATCCTGATGAACGACCCACAGGCAACTTCCATGGCATCTGAAGCCGAGCCTGAACCAGAACTGACGCAGGATAAGCCGTCCGTTATCGACAACCTACTTGATACATCGTCAAAACCACAGTTGACCGTCAGTGAAGTGCTCCAGACAACACTAAATTCTCTATCGAACGTTGCTTTATCTGATTACGTGAAGCAAAGAACTCAACAAACGACAGTAACCATCCAGTCATTGTCCATACCTACCACGGGAGAAGTAATCGATTCTGTTCTGCCCCGTGCCGAACCAGAGCCCAGTCATGAACCCAGAGGAAAGCCTACCATGTCAGGTCACCCATTAACCGCAGGTGTAGAAGGCTACACGTTGGAAAGTGTGGTGCTTGGAACAGGTAAGTAATTTAAGAGTCAGAGATGTGACTCATCTAATGTTTAATAATGGAACGAGGATGGGGAGGAAAAGGTAGAACGGAGAACGTTCATTTATTTTAAAAAATGAAATCAACACAAGCACAAACACAAGCGAACACATTTTCCTGATATCAGTGAATAAACAGATCCGAATTACAATCCAATACTAAGCATATTGTGGTTTCAATGAATTAAAACTAATAGCCAATAAATAAGTCGAAAATTGCCGTCCAGATTTTGTTCAATACAGCCCTTTCACAATAGTGCGCCCCCAAGAGTTTGCAACGCGTTGGCCAATCACAAAGAGCAAAATCTGTCGACCCTTTCCAAACACGCATTGAGTCGACAGATTTCGCGCATTGTGATAGGCCAACGCGTTACAAACTCTTGCAGGTGCACTATTGTGAATCGCCCGTATTGTCTATTTGTATACTAGAAGTGAGTATTTGCTTTAAGTGAAATTGAACGGCTCGCTGATGAATTAATGTTAATATACTCAAATCATTCATTGATAGTTGCAGGGCATAAGCCCCAGCGCTTTGAAGGCCAATTGACTATTTTGGCCATTGACAGCAGAGGAGCCACCTTCTCAAGCCTACTTGAAGACAGGAGCTCTACTTTGTACAAGAAGTACAGCGATGCAGTTTGCAGTGCGGTGAGTAATCCACCGTGTTGTTTTCTCTTTGCCAAATAAATCCAAGTTCTGATATGAGTTTCCTCCGTTTGCCTATCCATGGGACCGGCCTGCACTGTAACCTTCGCGTTTGAATGCATTCATTTCCAGACGTCAATCAGGTAAATTGTTTTAACTACTTTGCAAAGTTGGAAATGAGTAACATTGAGAATGGTTTGGCCCTATCTACTCTTGGGTAGAACCTCATCATATTTCATTAGTCAAATTTGTGCCATCTAATGTTTATGCACGGATCATCAACTATAATGTTCAATTTGTCTGGCATGGCATGGGACCTGCCCTGCTACCCAACGACTTGGAAGCTACAAATGTGAAATTTCCATTGGCCTAGAAATAAAACAATCTCACATCATTGAAAGCTTCATGTTCGATCGTCTTCAAGTTTCCTAACCACAAGTCAACTGCCATTTTAGTGACTGAAATTGATCCTTGGCAGGGGTCCGTTTTTGGACCAAAATTAACATAATTCAGTTTTGACTTTCTTGATAGGTCGTCGAGATTCTCAGTCAAGTGTATGTAGACAATCCCAGCAACTGTCGAGTAACTGGATTTCGGTCGGGGAGTGTCGTCGCCATGTTCGAGATACGAATAGAGGGCGTTCTCTCCGTGGATGCAGATGAAATCCGTTCTTATCTGGCGGCAGCTTTCACTGTCGGTGATCGAGCGGTGGCTGGGTTACAAGTCGATGGAACATCTGTAACGATTCGAAAACTCAAAGACTCGATCATTCAAGACATCCACGGGACTCAGTCTCCGACCAAGACGGTTTTGGGTGTCCTCGAGGGAGTAATTACCTCCGGGGCAGCATTGACAACACAGAACAGCCCTCGTTCGAATGCAGTACCGACTCTTAGCAGGACAAGAACTCCAGTCCCGGTTAGCACCATTACCGAGTCATCAGTTCATCAGACACCAAGGCAAACCGAGACTAGACCTAACTACACGGTGGCCCAGCACTTTTCTGGTCGTTTCCGAATTCTCACTATTGACGGAGAGGAAGTGGAATACACGTCGGATTTGGAGAAGCCAAACACGGAGAAGTTCAAATCATATGCAGGCATGGTTTGTTCAGGGGTGAGTAAAACTGCTAGCAAATTTTACAAATTAAAAGGCAATCCCAAGTAAACCACCGCGTTTTCTGACTACAAAACTTTAAGAAAATCATACAAAATGTCCTATACGTAAATTTAGGACCACAGTCACCTGATGTGTTTTATGTAACGGCACAAAATGGAGATTACGTCAGGATTCGGCAATATTTTAAATCCCATGATTAGATTGTTGGCTGCAACACTGCATGAATACTCCTAAGTAGTTAAGGGAGTCGGTTCCTTTTTTGTACAGAATCTCTGAAAGTTTTTGTTTCCAAGACTCATAAAATGACTTGTTTCAAAACTGTGATCATCGAATAGGCACCATTAACCCTAACAGTCCTCAATCCTTCACCTGTTGGAGGATTGAGGACTGTTAGGGTTAAGGTTGCTCTTCACACCCGCACGTGTAGTGGTGCACATGCAGTTGCATTTGCATCCTTTGCAGGTAAAATGTGCTAATGTGTCACTTTGAGCCTAATGCCAACAGATCATCTTCTCTATTTAAACGGATTTGTTTCTTGACATGCTTGTTTTTAATTTCGGTTCTGTTCATTTTTTATCGTTGGAACAGTCTTTTCCCTGTCTGCTTTTCGTCTTTACTTTACGGTTCTTTGCAGGTCGGTCTTACCCAGGATTTTGTGGCGTGTTCACGGGAGGGAGCAATTCATAGCATCCATCTTGAAAATAGCATCTTGCCTTGAGACTGGGGAAAATTGTAAATGAAGGACATCTAAGTTAACTATAAGGGCATAGTCGCCTCGTCAAAAAAGATGCCAACTGTACATGTACATATCGATGCATTTCAAAGGTTTCAAGGTTAATTTGAAGCCTTCTCGTTAATTTTCAATGGTAGGTTCTGAAGGCCCTGTACGACACCTACCCCGACGACCTTGGGGATTGCTTCGTGGTATCCTTCCAACGAGGGAGCATCATCGCCAACTACACGGTCACATTCAAAGGTGACAGCGTGATCACTGCCGCCGATATACGGTCGAAGCTAGTAGAAGCCTTCACTAACTCGGAAAACTCCGTTCTCCTTCGACTGGGCGTGGACACGCACTCCTTCCAAGTCACAAGTGAGTTACAAGACCAGAACAAACTAGGGTTCCTAATGTGTCACGTCGTAAAATTTAACTTCTCCCTCGATGAGAGGAGCAAAACATCTTGTTTTAATGACAATCATTCATGCCTCAAAAAGGGCAATTTCGCACTAAAAAATCAAACTGCGTCCTCAATAGCTATAATTAATTAAACTTTTGAGGGAAAATCCTCCATCAAAACCAGACCAGTTCAAATGTGCTTTTTTCTTAGAATTGGTATTTTGGTAATTAAAACCTGAGATACAAACTGGCTAAAGGGTAGACTCAAGAGCCTGAGTTTTAAGCAATATAATTTACACAACAGATAATGACAAAGATTAAATTTTGTGGCATCATACTTACAGTCGCCTTGCCTTTCATACAGGAACTGGAACAGATAAACAACCTCCCAAAGATGCAGGTGGTAAGTGCTTTCTTTCTCAGCATGTCGTTTGGGTTTACGGAAAGTACAAACAGCATGTGCACAAATTCAACTGATACTTATGGAGCTCATAACTCATGATAAGAGGGGCGGGGTCGAATTTTAGCTGCTAATATGTTTTGTCCTTGGACAAGTCACCTATTAAACCTTGCATTCTCCACCAAGGAGTATAAACGAGTTACCTGCAATTGCTGAGTAACAACTTGCAATGTTATCACTCTTTTCATCGGACTGAAACCGAAGATAAATACCGGCTAGGAGGGCAAAATTGGCTCGTGACAGACTTTAATTTTGAAACACCCAGTGGATGATTTTGAGTCACATTCTGTCTTTTTTTCATATACAATCTGTCTTTGGTATCCGCCGCTACAGCCGTTTCTTCAAATGGAACCGAAGACAGGGGATATCTAGGGGGAGGTGCAGTAGCGGCCATCGTACTATGCTGCTCGCTGGCGGCAATTGTGGTGGTCGCAGGTGTCATCTACGTGGAACTCCGTGACTACCGTAGATACAAAGGCCTGAAAGTAGCAACGGGTCGGAGAGACGTTTACATCGATGATGCCCCGGCTGGCTCGATAGTTTAGGTGATACCAAGAGATAATAGATGTAAAAACCTTAAATTTTCAAGGGGAAAAAATAGGTTGAAAAGTGTTTGTCCGCCTTTTGGCTTCTTTGTCTAGATTTTCGGCGAAAAAGATCATTACCTAAATCCTTCAGCTTTTTTGGAGGAATAAACAGCGGACACCCTCGCAGAAACCAGATGATATGAAAATTCGTAACTTAATCATGTCAAATACACAGTATTTTTCCCCAAAGGAACTTGGACATTCTGAAATATAATTACGAACTCTCTGGTACCCAAAAAAAAACAAAACAAAACAAAACAAAAAACAAAAACTGCAGTCGATACACATGTATTTGGACATTTCTTTATATCTGATTTATTTTAATACTGGGCACTGTGATGGGTTTTATATGCATTGACTCGTCAGATGAGGGTTTTAACTCCTGTAGTATATTAAGTAGCTTTAAATTAGTTACCTTTACTGCCCACAATTTACAGATTTACTGAGAAGCAAATAAAACAGTTGTTGACAAATTCGACAGACAACAATAAACAACTGGTTCGTTGGACAAGATATTATTATAATATCCCCGACGCAAAAGTAATACGTCAAATAAAACCTTTACTCAAGTCATCCGCGTCAATATTCCTCAGTTTGACCAGATTATATGTATAATAGAATCATCATCTGATCATCTGACAAAGGTTGGCAGGCTGACTTTACTCACTTTATCACGCTCATTCGATCAAGCAGACTCAGAGCTGCACTGTTGCTACCAGGAAATCTAAGCTACCACGGCCTCTCTGCTACACAAACTTCCCGCAATTGGCATTCTTGTCAAACAGACAACCACTGAAGTTGCGTTGTCGGCCATAAACCTTAACACTGCTTCAGTGTCGTCACAATGTCTTGGAAATTGGCTATGGAATCGTTGACTTTTGAAAAGGTGAATTCCGGGAAAACACCATGTCGACCAAAAAACTGAATGAAATTGTGTTGTCTTCTTTTTGTTTTCGTAAATACAACACTCATGTACGCCTGCACAATTCAGTCAGATATAAATTGAAATGTTTCAAAATAACGTAAATGTGTTCCAACGATATCAGCATTCTGCTACAAGTACTTATTTAAGCTGCTAACTACAGAATGTTTTTTAATATGTTTCCATGGAGTATTGTGTAATCTTGGTATTGTGTAATCTTGTTATGAACAACAAAACGCATAAACTTCGCAATTTTAAAAGAAGCTAAGATAAACACGACTTGACTGCATATAAGCCCCAGCAGGACTACAATTTAATTAAGTGAAATTAACTGATAAACAGTATGTCTCTTTTCTGTTTTGGTTTTTGATTCATTATAAAAACAAGCTATTAATTACAAACTACCTGCAGTGTCGATCCGGGCAGCACAAATTGCAATTGCAAGTTTAGGGATGTAGCTTCACGAACGTAAAGACTGAAATAACTTGTATACCTGTTCGCGTTAATTGTCCTATTTAGAGTAAAGGGCATGAATATTGCTAGTGTCCGCTTTGTTAAAATCCCGTTTACCTATGACGAACACCAGGACTGACATAGCTTTATATATTTTTACGTCGAGTGTCAGTTAAGTTTCATGAACTACGAATAATTTCTTTCTTAATACTCCTGATTTGTTTTCTACTTTCTGTGTATGTAGGCCTATGTTGTTTGTTCTAACAATTTTTTATGTTGGCCCGTTGTTATTGCCAAAATAGTCTTTGTGTAACAGCAAATGAAGTTATTTAGAACAAGTAAATTTCCCCGTCGGCCGATTTTCATTGCCAGTGTTTCGCAGCCTTCCTTACAGACCATGTTTTTGTCGTCTCTAACCGTGCATTTTATAAAGAAGAATTTAGACTGCTTTCTTTCAAAGTATCCCCGTCAAAATACTGTCAACGCAAACTTTGTGTCCACATTATTTCATTGGTGCTTGTTATAAGACTTTGCTATTTCTCAGTGTGGAAAATTGTGCCAGAAGTTGTTCTTAAAAACAAAAGTGGGGCCACTTTAATACTAAAAAAGCGGGGAAAAATAGTCACGGTGCGTCTGCAGGCGTAAGCCTTTCATACATGAAACCCGCGGCCGCGCTGGTAACCCCTCGATGGACCAGATCGAGCACGATATGGGAGTTTTACGTATAGGTTACTTACTATTGGCGGCCCAGGAGAACTCTATCAATATTTGTATATAATAACTGCCTCATGATGTTTTGTTTTTTTTTTCTAAATGGAAGTTGGCACAATGTTTTCACTCTGTGTGCCGGAGACCGTATCTGAATAATTTTCCGGCTTCTTTAATATCCAGTGAACGCGTTACATGCTCCAACTGGTCCGTGCTATTCGATGCATACACTATTTTTGTAAACCTTTTTATCTCCTCTGTAGTCTGCCGTCAACCTACGGCAAAGCAAAGGAACACCACCCATAGTTTGGTATCCATAACAATTAACTGCCACAACAACCGCCGATTAAATAAAGTTGCCTTGAGCTAGCAAACAGCTGTAAGTTTGAAACCGTAGTTTCAAAAGGATCTACGTAACGGGCATGTGGTATGTGCACCATGTATGAAATCAGCTTCACACGCGAGCTTGTGTTACGTCCAACCCCGCTCTGAAGAACCAAGGTCACATTGGTACACTTAATCATGCACAGTAGGCCTACAATCGGGGAGGAAGATGTTGGGCCTATCGTCAATTGCAAAAACCTTAGCGAGCAGGAGGACGATAAACAGCTATTGGTGATCGTCTCCCTCGTTGGCAGAGTAGAGATAAAGTTAGTAGGGAAAAAATATTTTCCGGGCATGTTGCAGACTTAAGTTCATGAAGCACCCAACAGATACACCCTTAGAACACAAAACGTATGGATGAGGGTTTCAACATTTAAATTTATTCTTGAAAATGATAGACTTTTTAAGACTTAACTGTGTGTTTTCGTTAGTTTTGTCAAAATTTGGGGTTCATTCCCAGTCGCTGAGGTCATAAAAGATACCCCTTAATTTTTTTTTTTATTAGATAGACATGTTGTTTATCATGCCTCTACTGAGTCGTACCATTGAGGAAATGGCGTGCATGACTTTCCCTTGTGCACGGTACCAGTTCCAGACCGAGAAGGCACGAGCTTTTGTCATGCTAATCTCGCCATCTCTATGAGGCCAACGCCAGGTGAAGAGAGTGCGACATGCTGGTAACTTCGAAATGCTTGCACAGGTGCATGAGCAAGTAGGGCCTATAGTGTGCAAGACATGACTGTGGGTGGATTTTTCAAATGCGACAGGATGTGGAAAATACCAGGCTTTTGAAAAGAGAGTGATCGATATTGGTCAATGCCAAACAGAAAGCCAAAGACAAGATGTGAAAGGACTGTTGAACTTGTTGAATGGAGCGATGATCCGGATAAGATTGGAAAGGATTAGTGACGTGAAAAGAGTTGTTGGATGGTCGCGGTAAATTTAGAATGCGGATCATTTCCACTTTGCTTTTTTTCATTACGTGTCCACCATTAAATTAAAGTCTTTCTCATTTCATAGCTTAAACGTCGATTCCCAATGGTGCGCCTTCAAGAATTTGCAACACGTTGACAAATCACAGTGCGCAAAATCTGTGACACTTTCTAAACGCGCATCGTCCCCGTATTGACTTTAGGCAATGCCATAAAAGCGCAGTTTTTGCTTGTGTGAGGGAACACATATCAAGCCAATAAACAGTCATACCACAGCCAGTCCACTTTTTACTTTTGATGTATCAATGTAATACGACATTCAAACAAAACGGCAGTCGTGTAGAAAATGGCATTGATGTTTCTCGAATTTGCTTTCCAAAGAAGCAGAATTTGTAGGCATAAAAGTGTGACCTCCTCACACGTGGGACTGAGTATCTACATATTTCACGCAGTACGCTGCAGGGAGACGAAAGTAAACTGCTCAAGATTTCGCACATAACATTGTTAACAGTTGCTATCAACAAACGGCATGACTGTTAAGGAAAACAAGTACTTGCAAGACATTTCAAAGGTTTCGTGTAGCCATAACAAACCCACCATCGTCCCAAACAAACATCGCCTTTATAGCAACAGCTATTATCATTTCTTCACACTTCTTCCACTCAACCGTAGACACCAGAGCGCACCAACACAAAAGAACGTCCACAGAGTCACTCGCCATAAAAATCACATTTTGATAAGCTGGAAGAGTTTAACTTTATTGAGGAACTTTCAGTTAGAGAAAACAAAACGACAGCGTGTAAAACAAAAGGCTGTTGACAGAAAAATACCATACCATGAAATAATTAAATTTATTTACGATGTCCATATTCCTTTTTCAAATAAGCCTAACAAACAAAGACCTCACGTCTAGCTTCTTCAGACTTTAGCTTAATGTACAGAGAACCTTTTGTTCTTCGATTGACTTTTAAATTTGTGCTAACAGTAGGTTCCGGCCTTTTTAGGACTTTTATTAATGTTTAGTTGACTGAGTGAAATACATCTGTATCCTTTGGGTTCCATTTGAAATTAAGAAAAAGAGTTACCGTCATGCATCTTCCTACAAGAGAAACTTCCTCACAGCCTGGGCAATGAAGCAATTGTGACAGAAATGGCCATTTTTCACTGCAAAGGGACTCATAAATGAGGAAGTCAATACAATGTCCCAGTAGCAACAACCCAACCAAATAATGTAAGGGAAGCGCGTGTTTCTGGCCTTATTTTAAGCGAAGCAGTGGGTGTCAGCGCCGTTCAGCTTTCTTTGCTTCCAAGGTCTGAAATAGCACCGTTGCGGCTATAGAAGCTTCTCCCTAAATGTTCTGCAGGGCCAAAAAAGTTATCCAGCACAATTGGAAGACCCACAAACTACCCCGTCAGTTGGTCGAACAAAGAGGATTGACACAAAAGCGCGTGATCAACACGACCACGGGAGTGGAAGGCTTGAATGGGGACTGGTCAAGTCATTTGGAGTCGAGCTGCTAGAGTGTATAATAAGGCCTGAAGGAGTTTTTTTCTAACTCGTGGTTGGCCTGTCTTCTTATTTACCGTTTCCATGTCGACGCCCTTGGTTACGTAGTCTGTGTACGTATACACCGTACGTAAGCCGCCATTCTCCGAGATTGCAGCACGCAAGTCCAGTGTGTTACAGACACGCACACCGTCCGCCTCTATCAATTACTCCCGGCTAGAATCATCACACGTGCGGATACTTACGGGAAAAGGAGACAGACAGGCACATAAGTTCGGAGACACTTGTGGTAAGTTAATGTTTTTTGGTCAAATTTATTTACAAAGTTTCGTCGAGGTATTTCATTACTGAGTACCGGTCAAATGGAGCTGATGTCCTCTCTCTAGCGTCGCTTGGCAACGCGTTCCTTTACAACGTATCTTCACCTTGCCTCTTCGGAATATGAAGAAAGTGGTCTACTCATGTGGAAAGTGATCGTAACAGAGATACACACGCGGGTGCCTACTTCCCCCAGAAATTGGCCTTAGTAATTTGCACTCGTTGATGTTAGAACAGACAACAGCTTCATTTGAGAATTTCCTACTGATTTATCTAAAAGCTCAGCGGGAAAAGAAACCAGATTATTTTATTTGTGATTCTTCTGCCCTCTCGATCAAATCTACTTGAATTTGAGTTGAATTGAATTACTTTAGGCCGCTTTAATTTCCTCTGAGTAAGTAAGCGGTATCTCTTCTGTTGCAACGACATAGAATAAAAATTAAAAGGGTATTCCTAACTAACTAACTAACTAACTAACAACTAGTAAGCGTTTTTTATTCAAGGAGAGAAAATGTCTTACAACATGTATTTTCATATAGGTACAAGGGCATTCAGACAAAAATTACACATTTACGCACACCGTTAAGTAATGCTGGTTATACATGTAGACTTCTTAAGATCAGCTCTAGTTTTTAATCGAAATACAAGTGCTTGAACACGCAAGGGTGTCTCTCTCAAACTGTCGTAGTTAAGGAAATACATTGTACGAGCTTGTGAGTCAGTGGCATATAAACTCTACAGGCACCAATGTGCGGTGTGCGTGACAACTCCGGGACGCCTTATCCTCAACATTCAGTGAATTTTAGGGAAGGCATTGACAAGACAGTCTTCTTGTACGAGTTTTAAGAATTAACCAACACGTAGATGAGGCCCATTTCGTGATGCTTGAGGATACTGCTGAAAAGAAATAGCAATGGGAAAATCAGAAACCTTTTCACAGTTTCATCTGCCGTGTTTGTGGCCTGTTGTTAGGGCAACCATTCTCAAGTTGCCATGTGGGAACGGCCGCATGCAAAGCGTCGTCTTGATGTTTAGCCCGACGACTGGTGTTTCCTTGCTCACGAATACAATAAAGAGATTCATCGGAGCAGAATGTCTTTTATTCTTCTTAATAATAGCCATTAAATTGGCCCTTTACGGGTGGTATTCTGCGTCGCCCCGTACCCTTTGGTGTCCCTATCTTTGTGGCAACGTGCAGTACCAAAGGACAAAGGCAAAAAAAGAAAGAAACCACGTATTTCTAAGGCCAATTTTGTGGCTATCGACTCCGCGTGGTTGAAAGACAGTTAATTGGTTGGACTTGAACAGGATAGTTTGGTGCATTACGTATGGAGCAGCATTCAAATGCCAAGGTAGCGTCTGACGGTTGCCGTGGACGACATGACCACTAAAATGCAAAAGCTCATTTTGTGGTTATGTGTCGGTGCCTTGGCACAACCTTTACTGGGATTGCTAACTGGAAATTTTATTGCTCAAAATCAATAAAGCACATCGTCGGGTGCCCGGCAGAAGGGCGTAGGTGCACTTACGCCCCTCTGCCGGGCACACGACGATATACGGTACAATGTGGTGAAAAAAATGAGGCAGACGAGTCATGTCAAGAATGTAATATGCCTGCAAAGCCAATGATTTTAAATCTAGGTCGCCGCCCTTCCGTACGCAAGAAATTGTTGGTTACTGTCCATGCTAGAAGTAGGGGATCAAAAGAAATGAACACAACTTCCCAGTGAAGCCACAGGGACAGTAGTAATCTGACGTAAAACACTCTTGACGGCTTCACGGCATGGAAACAAGAAGACGCTATTGTGACTCGTGCAAATGACACTAATTAACTCTCTCCTCGTGTAGACTTGTGCAAGTTGATGGCTCTCCGAGAGGCTATTTTTTCCCATTCATTCATTACGGTTTATTTGAAAGAAAACATGAAACAAAAAGTCACACGACTAAAAGTGTTTGATTTACAAAAATTGAGTACGAAACAGTTTAAAGGATAAATTAAATTACAATAAATACATTACACTAAAAACACTAATAAAATGCACCATATATAAACAAGTAGGTTTAAAACATGCCACAGAGGGGAATTAATTATGAAGGGATCTGGAATTTATAATTTAACACTTTTGACATGTATATAATTGGACTTTGTTGGTATCTTTGTGTTCGGCAGTATGGTATATGCAGATGTTGGGGATTCCTGAGTATTTGCCGAGTTGATGGTAAAAAATGGCGATGCCTAGAAGACAATAACAACGATTTAGCAAATTTCGCGACCAGTTGTATACGTCTAACAGAAAGCTTCTGCATATTAAACTTACACAACAATTCAGTATAGGACAGCAAACTGGGGTATACAGTAATACGAAGTGCTCGCTTCTGTATTCTTTCAAGGCGTTGAGATTGATATCTTAATATGCCAGAAGACCAGATGACTGCTCCATACTCTAAGGTTGGGAGAATATACATTTCATAAATTGTAATTAAATCGTCAACACTGACACCATTTTTCTTGAGCCAACTTTTAAATAAAGAGCCGTCTAGATGCATTGGTAACAACACTCGTAACCTGCTGATTCCATTTTAAATCATTTTGGATAATTATTCCAAGTAATTTTGTTGATGTAACAAATTAGAGTTGACTTTCATTAATTGCTATATTAGGTTGAGATGGACAGTTACGAAGGAACGAGACCTCACAGCATGGAGTTTGTTTTCCGTCCTCCATGCTGAGAGCAAAATTAAAAAAAATCACCTCAGTTTGTGATTAGTCACTAAATTCCTCTCCCAGCTTAGTTCTGAATTTCCGTTACTTGGATTCAGAAATGAGCCCTGCCCCGCCCTCAACAATCTGCTGTGATTGACATGCCCCCTTTGTTTCCAGCGGGGCATTCGCTCCATACACTGGCTCTTTCACACTTGAACGATTACCACAGGATGTCTGGGCGTTAGCACGTAAACGCCATGTAACTGTGACCATCCCATGCTATAGGCACACTAGTCATGGTGATAAAAAGAAAGGGAACAGGACTGGCTAGCATTGTGCATACAGGAGGTTACTTTTTCGGGTAAGCTACATTGTGCATGAATGTATTTCACTGCTGCATCAGCCATAAAGAATATTCCCTCGACCACACGGTAAGCACTTTGCACAATGATGCATGTGCACCTGAATGCATTACTTACAGCCAATGTACATGTACACTGAATGCATATAAAGCTACGAGCAGCTACTTTTGGAATGAAAAAGCTGAATCATTGGCCAGAATTGAGGAAAGCGGTATTCTGATGCCAATTTATCAGTCGTGCACATCGTTTACTTGAACAAAGTATCCAATTTCAGTACCACAATTTGAAAATTATGAACGAAAATTCGACATCGGGGGTTTATAGCCAAATTGCAACGATCAGCAGTCGTTGAGTTACATAGTAGTGATGAGTGGCATTCAAAAACAAAAATGCCAAGTGATGGTGTCTGTGTTCACAGAATTTCTGTTCTTCGAACAATCTGTTTTGTAACAAGAGGCACGGGTATGCCTCTCATGAGTGAGCGGTCAGAAAAAAAATCGATCCTTTTATTCTGTTTTTTTACCCCTTTTTTGGGGGGTTGTTTTGTTTTGTTTTTGTTTTTTTACAAGAAGGGATCGCCTCTCCATCCACATAGCAAATCTGAAAGGAACATTACTGGACATTTAGCACTTCTTACGCCGATGGTCCCCGTGCACCTTTGTACCTGTATTAAACTGATTGCACCGGCCACAATTATTAAGCAGATGCTCAGAAGTAATTACCTGAACAAAATTGCTCTGTCCGTACATAACAACCTCCGTTAAAGCATTTAATATGTTCACTCTGATTGATAAAACAGGTATTTGTTGGCCTTGCATTCAATTTGGTGGATACTCTCTAAGTTACAACGGTTGTATTCGGTAAACAGCACTCGCGTGTAAATTTGCACCGAGTCACTCTTAAAGGTCAGTTGCTGCTAATTATCTCAGAAAAAGAGATCACTACACAAAATCACTTGCGGTGTTAAATAGGTGTCATATTGATAAACGTGTATAGAACATCACTGGGCGTGATACGCGTGGTAGTTAAGGACGCTAGGTTAACACTACATTTTTTGCAGACGAAAACGTACAACATGCAATCGCTGAGCGGACCTGTATCGTGTATGTTTTTTTAAACAATTCCTTTGCTTTTTCCTCTACAGCCCTTTCCTACTGTCACCATGGATCTCAGATTTCTGATCCTGATGTGCACAAGCGTTTTTCTTGGTAAGTTTCATAAGTGCTTTTAGCTTTAAAAAAAACTTTTAAAAGGGACAGAGTTTGCCTCGGTTTAACATGACCAAAAAAGGGCCACATAATACCCAAACCAATCGACCAGTTTGAAGTACACGTACTGGATTATATGGTCCTAGTTACAAAAACACGTTGATGGGGTTTTCTAAGTCAAAAACTTAAGCAGAAATCTTTATTTTTTTTTTTAAATACGCTGTCCCTGTTTACTCAACAGTTCATGGCCAAACCAGTGAGTCACCAACTGAGACAATGGAGCCGGTGACAGAAATTTATGAGACGACCATCTCAGCTACAATGGACGCAGTGACAACAATAGCATCAACTACGATAGCCGAGACTGTTGCAATGGCCACCAATGCGGCAAATGCCGAATCATCGACTGTGATAGTGGACCAGGCAACGACTGCATCGACTACGATAGAAGCGACTAACTCAGCAGCAGACTTGACAACCGGTGCAGCAAATGCTGAATCTACAACTGTCTCAGCAGTGACAACAGCCGATTCCAATGT